ATCTCATGAGAAGAGAAGACTCCTTGGAAAAGACCTTGACATTAGGAAAGTGTGACGGCAAGAGGAGAAGGGGACAACAGAGGATGAGATGATTGGACAGTGGCATCGAAGCTACCAGAATGAATTTGACCCAACTCCGGGAGGCAGTGGAAGATAGGAGGGCCTGCCGTGCTCTGGTCCATAGGGTCACGAAGAGTCGAACACGACTAAACGACTAAATGACAACGACGACACATTGTCCACACAGCAAGCCGTACTGCAATTTAACCACTGTACCATGAGATAACCATGGCAGAGTATCATTATTTAACCACTGCACCATGAGATAACCATGGCAGAGTATCATTCAGCCATAAGGTTTGCCTGGACTATTAGGTGGGAACTCAGAACTCTTTTATACTAAAAATGGCTTTGCCCCTTAGGCAAGTAAACTGGACAGCTGTTGGGATGAATATCCCTCATACACGTATCGAAAGAAGGGAGAGGAAAGAGAAGCATTAATGCTACCCAGCATCGTGTTCTTCAGTTATCCTGCCCCCACTGTTATTAACCTTGCCGAAGTGGTCAGCTGAACAGGGGAGGCAGGGTAGGGCAGTCGAGGCTCCTTCCCAGGTTGGTGCACCAAAAGCAGAAGAAGGACCCCTGCACCATGCAGATACAGATACAAAGTGCCCACCTCTAACTCCTTATATTTCTGATCATCATCTTCCCCCTTTCTCTCTTCCCTTCCAAGGCTGTTGGATCTTTAACTTTTTACCAGGCTATAAAGGAAACTTGTTCACTTATCAGTGCCTCTCCCTACTCAGGAAGCCTTTCCTGTTGATTTTTGCCATACAAACCTTTCCACCAGTCCAAGATCTACTTCTTTAATACACATTTTAAAAAAGTTCACATTCCTGTTCTCTTGTGAGAAAAATGGGCATACAAATTTAGCAACATCTCAAGGTTACTTACAACTAAGTCCAAAAATAAATAGAATATTTAATTATCATTTTAATTAAAGCTGTAATCCTAAGCATACTTTACTTGGCAGTGAATTGAAATCACTGTTAGTTAATTATGAATAAATATGTTTAGATTTAGAATAGGTTCTTAATGGCAAATATGTAGGAAAGTTTAATATGTGTAATATGTAATATGTGAACATTTAATTATAGCATGCCTCCAAATTTATTGTGTATATAATTTAATAGTTAGCTCTAAATATAATTTTACCACATTTACCCATTTACTTGATATATAAAATGGATTTCCTGATTTTGTTTTGTCACTGACTCCAAGATTTTCAGACACAGTTAGCGGGAAAACAGGGTACCAGAGACTGCCTTTCGACTTTCTCAGGCCTGTTCATAAGCTGCCAAACTGAAAGGACGTGGCCTCTGGCATTCACAGAGGGGGCAGTGAAAAAGTCCCTGATAAAAGCTATGGAATAGCTCTAGAGGAAATATATTCACCACTACCATTTTGTCCTCACAACAACTCTATGAGGTAGATTAAACTGAGTTATAGCAACTGGTCCAAGGCCATTTGGGGAACCTAACGGCTTGCCTAATCCAAAACCTGGCACTCTAGCCACTGAGTCACACTTCACCTGAAAGGTCAGTATCTCTCCACATCACCCTCTTCTACAAATCAATATAAAACATAAAAGTCATCCAAAAATTAATCTTTCTTTCTTCTACCAGCAGAGGCCACTATAATCCTTCAGAGCAGCAGTTTATTTGCTGCTTCATTGCACTAATAATATGTACATATATAATTTTAAACTTCTTGGCTCCACTTTAAGGACCGCTTTTGTGCATTAACAGATCCTGAAGTAAGTCATTTCCTTGTAAGAAACCACTTGCGATGTACATGTGCAGGGTGTATTCATACTGGATACCTGTGGTGAGCTAAAGCTTCTCAGCACATGTGAGAATAATTCTGCAGCACAGCCATAGGTGATGACCTGCAATATCTAAATCATGTCCTTTCAAATACAAATGTAAGTAAAACTACATTTGTAACTGTGTCATACAGTTGAATAGACATTCAGAAAACATAGTCCTCAGTACGGAAGCCTGAGACCCTCAAAACTGTCTGGAAGCCCTTCCCTGGGCACATGTACCTGAGTCATGAATAAATGACTTTTCTACAGATCATGGCAACCTTTTGTTAGTGGTGTTTTAGACTTGCACTAATGCCTACTACCATTCAAGGCTGATCTCCCATTCAAACTGGAGGCACAGGATATTGTTGTGAGTTCAGTAAATATATTATACATCTAGAGAGAGGCACTCTATAGTCATGAATAAATGACTATTCTATAGATCATGGCAACCTTTTGATAGTGGTGTTTTAGACCTGCACTAATGCCTACCATTCAAGGCTGATCTCCCATTCAAACTGGAGGCACAGGATATTGTTGTGAGTTTAGTAAATATATTTAAATTATACATCTAGAGAGAGGCACTCTATTTGCTCTTCAGAATACAGGATATTGTTGTGAGTTCAGTAAATATATTATACATCTAGAGAGAGGCACTCTATTTGCTCTTCAGAATACTAGTTTTCTCATAAACCTTCTACTTCCGACCTAATTTCATTTCCTGTGTATATTTTTATTCACTCACTTTCTCCTTGGGGTAAGTGGCTTCAGCTTCCTCTGTACTAGGCTAAACAGATTTTGCCAAGTAGTCTTTGTTTTGTGTAAAGTAGTGGCTCTGAAGACAAATGTAACAGATATCCGGTCAGCAACAGGTGGTCCAACAGGGGCTCAGAAGCATTACCCTCAGCACCCTCCCAACAATCAATCAATCAATCAATCAATCTGCATTACCCTCAGCACCCTCCCAACAATTTCTCTCTCTCTCTCTCTCTCTCTCTCTCTCTCTATCTATCTATCTATCTATCTATCTGCCTCAGAAAGATGATTGTGCTCTCAACAAGGGCAATTTTGTCATGTCTTGAGGCCTTCTAGTTCCCTAATCCCAAACCATTAAAGACTGGCCAGTAGAGAGCAGAAGGGGCCCTTCTCAATTTAAAAAAACAAAATACATTTTTGCCAGGAAAATTGGGATCTTAGGAATGCATGTGGCCCTCCCCACTTCAGGAATGAGCATGTGCAGCCCCAGGCCTCAGAAGGTTGTCCTCCCCTGTAACAGAGGAGCAACATTTCTTTAACTCTGTGCTTGGCCCAGAATTTGTTTTTGATCTGGGGCGCGCATACATACAAATTTACTTTTATTTCCCTCCAACCCACAACACTTACAACTTACCCTGATTTAGGTAGAGAAAAGGGGTTTGGGCTGTTGCCATTGTTAAGCTATTGAAACGGATCATTGGTGATCTATTGCAAATCAACCTGACATGCTGACCATTCTATCGGGCAAAGTGAAGCAATAACTGCTCAGAAGAGAGATTATGAAGGGGCAGGAAACTATACAGTAGTTTGATTATATTTTTACTATGGAGGGCAGTGCTTGTAGTATCTCGTTTGATTATATTTTCACTATGGAGGGCAGTGCTTGTAGTATCTCCTGTCTCGTGTGTGCAAACAACTTGATTGCCTTTCTGTACTGTGCACATTGAATTTAGGAGCTGGGGGTGGCACTTAGTTGCTGCATTGTTGCAGACAGTGACGGATCTTGGCCAGCCCTGTGACACATGGAGTAGATGCAACTTCGTCCACTACCATCCCCCAAGCCTTCAGAGAATTATGGAATTTCTGCATCTTTTCACTGGTAGCTCTATGGTGGCTTCACTGGGAAGCATTGTGTTTTTTGTTCATACTACATTGTAAGCTAGTGTAGTACCACGATTAGAACGTCAGACTAAAATCTGCAAGGCCCAGGTTCAAATCCCTCGCCAGCCATTAATCTTATATAGGCCCAGGCCATATGGAGTGGTCACCGCAGGACCTTTTGACTCACCCAGGGGTCTTGCCTCCACCAAAATGTGCATGATCCTCCATTTTAACCCCCTTTTTACATGCCATTCTTTGTATTAAAATCTCTCTCCACACCATGAGGGTGCCTGTCTTCATCTGAGCTCTCAGAGAACCTGTAAAGGCCAGTCATCAAGTCTCACTCTCACCCATCTCACAAAATAAGGAAATCCACATGTGCCACCCTGAGATCCTTGGAGCATAGCTGGAGGTAAGCATGACAAGTACCTAAATAATGAGGAATCACTAGCCAGCATGACTGACTGACTGACTGACTGACTGACTGACTGACAGACAGACAGACAGACAGACAGACAGACAGACAGACGGAGAACATTAAAAAGATGGCAGTTCCTGTTCTTACCTCCCAGAGTTTCATCTTTGGCCAGATAATATCGATAAAAGAGCACTAGATCAATCCAGCGCCAGTAAGCCAGCATGCCTCCCAAAACAACTCCAAACAGTGCTATGATGATACAACACAATGCAAGCAAGAAATACAGAACTAAAAAGGAGAAAGGAAAAGAAACCACTATTAATATTTGAAATTCTGTGTTTTATAAGAATTTAAAATGATCATGGGGGGTGCAGGGGGGGAAAGCCTTAAAAATAAAGTGCAATTTAAAATTACATCTTGGAACTGATGTAGTTGTTTCGGGTACACATAAAACTGTAATTGTACCCGAAACAACTGACCGCAGATGAAGGTTATAAGGTATGTGAACAATTTTGTGATAGCTAAACCTTGAATGTCATGTTATGCTGCCAGATGAATGTCTATTCTCTCTGGATATATGCTAATAGATTAAGTTGGTATTTTACTCTTTCAGTGTTATAGTGTCTTTGCAGCCTGAAATCTCCTAACCCTGCTTACATCCTGAGAATACATATATAACCAAAATTCTCAACAATAATTTCATAAAGTACTTAGAATTCTACACTGTATACTGGAGGAGTCCATGTGCGCTCGCTAGGAAAACATTCTAAAGACCTCAGTAAACTACAAATTCCAGGATGCCACCAGATGTCAAATAGATTGCACTCAGGATGCCTTCATGCCCTACTTGTTAAGCTTCCCAGAGGCATGTAGGTAAACAAAACTCTTGGAAACAAAATGCTGGATCTGATGGACTTTTGGTTCAATCCAGCAGGGTTACCGTACATCTGTAAAAAGAGAAGAAGCTGGCAAAGTAGGGCAAATGATTCCAATTACTGTACCAAAGTTCTCTCCTGCATATGAAATGAAATGTTTTGAGAGTAAACATCATAGACGTTCAATGCTGAGTTTTAATTTTTGTTTTCCTCTTTAAGGGTAAATCATCTCTGACATTCACAAAACTGATGACACTATTCGGATTAAACAAATATTGTTGGCCAGTTCTACCTTTTTCTCTTTTTCTTCTAAGCTTGAAAATTCCTGTGGAATGTCCAACAGAGTTTTGAGCCAGGCAGATGAAATGGCTGTTTAGATCCTCTTCATTCACATTTGTCAAATTGAAAATATCGCTAAAGGTTTGGCCTTCTATCCCCTTTGG